AATATGATAACAATAACAAAATGATATAAATAATAATATTTTTGTAGAAGTGAAAATTTCAAATCATGGAATCATTGCCGGTATAAATATTAGAAATACAAAATTACGTAAGATGAGAGCAGCTGATAGTAATGTGACATGCTATGACATGACAACAATCAAATGATCAGCCACGTGAAAAAAAGGAAAAAAAAAATGTAATATTGCCGTAAAAAGGAAAGTTTATTCGAATTGAAAATAAATACAATAAACAATGGGAATTTATTATGTAAGCATAAGAAAGGGATAGTTATTATAGTTTTTTAATAAAAAAAAGAAAGAAAGAAATTCTACTAACATGCTTATTTGTTTTCATTAATTATATCATTCATTATGCTTTTGTATTAAATTTGAAATTAATTAATAATGAATTTAACATTCAAAACGGAATTGTATTGAATAGTAATTCAAAATGCAATTTGAAATTCACAATGCAAAATGGAAATGTGTAAATAATACAATATGCAAAAGATTTTTTTTTAACATATTTAATTCTTTTGATTGTTGTTGTCTTTTTTGCTAAGTTAATTCTTTGTTGGACACAAAAATATATCAGTGATAAATTTTATTCAGGTAGATAAAAATGATAACATGATGATTACGATTATCATATAATATGTGGATAAATTTTTTGAACTCAATAACAATTACATTATTATTCTTCAGTTGTTTCAAGTTTTCTTCTTCCAAACCACTATTCTGATAATTTCAGAATTCCAAATCCTGTAATTATTTTGTAATAAGAAAAGAAAATTCGATGAGGAAAATAAATATTGTAATATACGTATATGTATATTTTTTTTTTAAATTACATCATTTGCAAATTGCATATCTTTTTTAAGCACCAATAAAAATAATTGAAACACCAAATGTTACCATATATTTAAAAAGTAATTATTTATATTATTTAAAATTTCATATTGAAACACTGCAAGGATTAATTTTATTTTATGTAGCAAATTTTAAGATGCATATTTATTGTCCTAATTTGATAAATGCTTTACCAGGTAAGCTACTCTCGATATTTGTTAGCCAAATATGGCAACAATTATGTTGGTATAAGTTTCAAAACCTGAAAAATAAAACCATATTCTTGTTTATTCCTTTAAATTTAACAATTATTAAGAATAAAATTATCATCGAATAAAATATATTTACATGATTTATTGCAATTTAAGACTGTGCTGATCAAATAATGTAGTCAGTAATTTTTATTAAATATCAAATTAATTAATGAATGCCTTCCATTGCCACCGTAAAATATTCATCTATCATTTGAAACACTTATACAAATTATAATGTATCGCATGAAAATTATATAATTATGATAATCATAACAACAATTACTGTATCAAACTGTAGAAACGGTAGCTTTAGATTATTCTAGATAATAAAATGATGATGAAACATTATTATGATAACTATGATAATTATCACAATGATTACTTTGGGTAGATAATATTCACCAAATTTCACCAATGTTGACTTCGTATTCTCCTAAACATTTATTGGTTTAACTATGTATCCATTTGTTACTGTTCTCATACAAACAGGTGTCACCAGTATTGACGATATACTATTGAAGATACAGTTGCGCTGGACTGGGCATATCTCCAGGAGATAGAAGGTCACCTTCTTACTAAGATTATACTCTACTTCAAACTAGTCACCAACTTCCTCAAAAGAAGAGCCCAAATAGGAGATACAATAACATCCTGAAACAATGCCTCTCAGTCCTCTTAGCTATGTAGATTACCATCAATGAACCATTCTGCTATCGAATTAGGAGACATGAAGAGACATCATTCATAAAGTTGCTGCTTTCTTCGAGAACATTAGCAGAACTATCCTCAAGGACAAACAACAATGTAGAAAAAAAAAAAAAACGCATTACATTAATAGCCCCCATGTAGACCTTTCACTGTACCTTTTCCAAACGAACTTGTCCATTCTGCATTAGCCTTTTTAGCTGTCAATAAGCTTACAACAAACATGAGAACACAACTCTTTACATATTTTTTTCACAAAACCTGGCTATAATGACGATGGCGACAACGAGGACAGTTGTAATGTGTTGTATAAAAATCAAAAATTTGAAGAATATTAATTCCTATAATAACTGATAGATAGTACAATGTTGAAAACGTTTTTCTTATTTTAATTTTTTATCTTATCAAATTACTATTCACAGATAATAATCCTTATCACAAATAAAAGCAATGCATTGTTCTCATTTCTATTTATCTAGATGAATTTCTAAGATTAATCTTTTTTGACAAAATAAATCATCGGCTATGTGATAATGATTGATAATTTAGTGATTAGAAAATTTTTGACCCGATG